AAAAATCCCAAGCAAATCGGTTATTTTGGCTATAGTTTCCCAACTCAAATCCGGATAAATGTTTGGGACATGGCCTCTCTAGAAAAGTTGATCGTGAAATGTTTGCAATGTTTCCCTTTGCCTTAAGGCAGTATGCATCATCATCCAAGTTGAGTTACAACGAGTTGGACAATCCAAATTAGGACCCAAAGATTTTTTATTAACTGACTTACAAAATTGTTTATAATCATTTAGTCTTTTGTTGTTGTTACAAAGAACTGATTTTATCATTGCTTTAAATTCTAATCTAATCGGCTCAATAACCTTCAAACCGATTTGCACGGAGAAATTAATTATGTGTGCAACGCAACGGGTATGAAAAAATGCAACGTCTAAAATCGGTGAAAGTAATATTTTTAATCTTGGAACTGCGTTTGTATTATTCGATGCATTATCAAAGGATATAGAAAAAACTTTATTTTCTAATTTATAAAGACATATTACCCTTTTTAAAAGTGTAAATAAATTAGCACCGGTATGCAGCTCACCGAATAATTCAAACGTGATTATTCTTTTCATCATTTTCCAATTATCTTGATTTAACCAATGTGTCATAACGGCTAAAAAAGAATTTTCGGTATTATGAGGGGAACTCCAAACGTCACATGTAAGCGACACACCATAACGGTGTTCTTGGAATCCTAAAATCATTTTTTCCCTCGTCGTACGCAACATTTTTATAGCATATCTTCTAAGGGTAATACGACTTACTTGAGTATAACGTGATTGCATTAGTTGTTGAATTGTTGCCGTGAAATCTTCATCATCAAAGTGGTCGAATGGCAATGTTTTTGTAATCACGAACTTTGTAAACGCTTCTCATAATTTTTCGTTGTCGTAAACAAAAACACCACCTTATGGTGTAAGATTCGATTGACTTAGATCTGATCTTGAGCGAAGTGCCTTGCATGATTTTGTCAAATGATTCTTCAACGTTGTTTTTCCTTCCGGTGCAAGAAACTTTAGACAAAGTTTACAACGCGCCTTCCTCGAGCCATTTGACATCCCACATAAATCGTAGTGATCCCAAATATCTTTGTTTCGAGTATGTTCGATCACTCTCACGACTTTAAGGTTTCCCCCGACGGAAGATTCAGCCGTGTTACTTGTGTTGTAGCCATGATGAACAAAAAATTACAAAAAATAAGATTTGAGAGATGTTTAGGTGTTGTGTAATAAGATTTGAGAAAGTTGAAATAAACCAAATACATTCTCAACCTATTTATACATGTTTAGGGTGGTAAAATAGTAATTTTTTTTAGAAAAAACGGTCAAAAACCCACCCAATGACTATATTAACGACTAGTTTTTTAAGCCCATACCGGTTTTTAATCGGTTTTTTTCCAAACCGATTTTTAATCCGGTAAAAATTCAGTCGTCCATTTTTTTCCCAAACCGGTTATATTATCCGGTTTTAAAATATCTGATCCGGTTTAAAAAAACTGATTTTTCTCAAATCCGATTTCAAATATTTTTTTATGTAAAATCATATATTCAAATTTTGTGTGCACCTCTAATAAAGACCCCAAAACTAATAAAAAAAAAAAAAGTTCCCAAACTCACACCCAGCAAAACGAACATTCATCTTCAATTGAGGACGAGCTCCACAAACGCAGAGCCAAAATCAAAACGTGAACAAGCAAATAAAGAACGAAGAGGAGGAGGAGGAGCTGAACGGACCTCCAAAACAAAAACATGAGCCGAAGCAATTAAGACAGGTCATACCACTATCGATCTGAGCAGAGAGCATCTTCAACAGTAGAAGGGGCTTCCTCAATCCAAACCATCGGGGATGTAAAAGTTTGACCCAGCTTCGCCGGCGAGTGAGCCACCGAATTCATAGCACGATAGACAAACTTAAAAGATAAGTACTCGAAATTCCTTTGCATGCATTGAATTGTAGATAATCGGACTAACAAAAGAGAAATTTGACATAGGTGAAGTTACTTTGTTAATGGTGATCTATGAGTCCCCCTCAATAATAGCACGACGAAAACCCAACTCACTAATAGTGTCACTTCTTGTTCACAAGCCCTAGTTTCTGCAACCTCTGGAGAGAGAATGTGAGCATTTGGATAGACACTAGACGCCATAACTAGACCCTCATAATTTCTTATTATAATACCTGAAACAGAGGTTTTGGAAGCGGAGTGAAAGCCAGCATCAAAATTGCTATTGACAGTATCTACAGAAGGGGGAGATCAGTGACCAGTTGCTTGAGGAGGTGAGGATCCCTGATTAGATGTGCATGCATCAATTTCGACAATATAATTGGAGATGAATGGAGCAAGGCTTATTGGAGTTTGAACCAGATGTTCATGGAATTTCCTATTTCTACAATACCATAAAGCCCATAACACAACAGCAAAAACTTTGCTCTGGTGCTTGGGTAACAAATCAAATAGATTAGATAACCACAACAGCCATTGCTGGTCACCAAAAACAACAGGAAGTACAAGCTGAAGTGCAAAGAACAGTTGGTTAGAGAAGGGGCAATCACAGACAATGTGAGAGACAGTTTCATATCTAGTATCACATAATTTGTATGCAGTATCAATATTGAGACGCCGTGATGACAGGTTAGCAGTAGTAGGGATGTAATTCTTACAGAACCGCCAACGGGTGATCTTCACTTTAAATGGTATAGGAAGTGACCAAATTGTGTCAAATACCTTATGATCATTATTTGAATCAATGATAGGTTGGATAAGATGACAAGACCCACTCTTAACAGTATACACCCCTGCTTTATCAGACCGCCAATACACAACATTCGATCGCTGAGTGGTTCGCAAAGGGATGTATAAATTTGTCTCTACCTGATCAGGCAGAAAAAGTAAAAGAATATCATTTGCCCTCCAGGTATTAGAATTACCATCAATTAAATCAGACAAAATAGTACAATTGATGTTAATATTGTTTACCCAAACCCTGCCCATTGTTGTCTCAAGAACCCAACTATTGCGCCAGATATTAATCGACAAGCCACAACAAACTTTCCAACTGAACCCCTTCTCCAAAAAACTACGGGTGAATAAATGTTTCGCCAGGTATAGGATGGGTAAGAACCCAAACCAGCCTCCATAAACGTTGATGTAGGGAAATAACGCCCTTTTAGCACCCGAGCCAAAAGGCAGTCAGGTTTAGAAAGAATGCACCAGCCTTGCTTGGCCAAAATGGCAATGTTAAACTAAGCCAAATCTTTAAAGCCTATACCTCCCACCGACTTCCGATAGCACAATTCTATCCATTTAGCCCAGTGAATTCCTTTGCCAGAGCTATTATTGCGCCATCAGAATTTGTTAAAAATAGACTCCAATTCACGACAGACAGCTAGTGGAAACAAAAAACACTACATTGGATAAATAGGAATGGCTTGCAACATTGATTTTATAAACACCTCTTTACCACCCATGGACAAGTACTGAGTTCTTCAACTATTAACATGATGGTTCACTTTGTCCCGCAGCCCAACAAAAGCCTTTTTTCTATGTCGGCCCACTATAGTCGGGAGGCCAAGGTATTTTTCCGGACTCCTAGAGATTTGAACACCATAACCCCCCCCCCCCCCCCAAAATAAATCAATGACTAATCATAATTGACAAGTTTCCGAGACATAGCTTCATATTCCATTAACAAATCCCGTAACGTAACATCACCACAAGGAGTGACGTCACCAAATAAAATGCAGTCATCCACGAAAAATAAATGAGTAAGGGGAAACCATACCTACCAACCTTACATCTAGAGATTGCACCAGTAGCCTTAGCCAAATTAAGGAAAGAACTTGCGTGCACATCAGAAAAAGATATGGACATAACAGGTTACCTTGGCGTAAACTACGAGTAAGAGAGAAGGACATTACAGGAACCCCATTGAAAACAATCGAATACGAAATCGTGGAAACACAACTCATCACCAGTGTAACCCATCAGGAGAAAACCCCATCACGAGCATCACATCCCGTAATTAGGATTATTCCACCCGATCATAAGCCTTATTAATTTTTAAAGCAAAAGAACCACAACGGCTAGAAGTGTTCAGCTTCAAGGAATGCAAAATTTCATAAGCAATCAAAACATTATATGTAATACGTCTCCCGGGAATAAAAGAACCATATGACTCATTAATACAAAAATCCAGGAAACCACAAAGCATATTGACAATCGCCTTGGCAATAATTTTATATAGGACATTGTATAGGCTTATAGGCCTAAATTGACTCATGGAGGAAGGAGGGACAACCTTGGGAAACAATAACAACAAAACCCTTTTTCCATATGCAATGGGATAAAGGGGAGGTCTTCTGTGGAAGACCTCCGACAGTCAGAAAAAAAAATGCAATGCATGTATAAATAAATAAATAAATACATAGTTGGACAATCTTCATATTCAGTCTATATATGCGTGTCTGTAATGAGAAGTAATCCCTGCAAATAAATTCATGCGTAAAAATCTCTGCATATAGACAGAAACGTAAGTCCGAGCTAAATGTAAAAAGAGGAAACATGAAGAGAATGATACACAGTAGTCAACGATAACAAATACGAAAAGGAATAAAGTCAAATAGGTTAAAACCTAAAATAAGGCAACACTACTCTGCTATACCCTAGTTCTAAGCCTTCATAAATTTCAATAATAGAAACGTATAAAAAATAGAAGTCATGGAAATTACTACAAAGGCTTTAAAAAGAAGACATAGATGCTATACCCTATTGCTGTGACTCACACTACTCGGCTACTCTGGTCTTAAGTTTTTATACTTTCCTGTCAGAGGTCATGTCCTCGGTAAGGGTTAAATCCTTCAAATCAGATCTCAAGCAGTCTACCCACTTCCTCCTTGGTCGACCTCTCCTTGAGGCACCATCGACTGTAATCGACTCTATCTTCCTGACCGTATCCGACTGTTGAGGGACAACCTTAGGAAGAAGAACACTATTCCAATATTGGCTCGATTAATATCAGATCAGTGAAAAGTTGCTGAAATAAACAGTAGCATTAGTTGCTATTAAATCCTCATCAAAAAGCCAGTTCCCGTTGATATCTAACAATTTAAGCACCTTGTTTTTCTTCTTTCGATACGTGGCCCATTTATGGGGAAAAATTATATTCCTGTCACCATGGTGGAGCCAATTGACATGAGCACGCTGCTCCCAATATAACTCATCTTTATTCGCCTCCAAATTGAGAGCTAATCTCACATCTAATAATTCAACAAGGGTTTCATCGTCTGGATCAGAATCTAAAAGCCTGGTAAGCTTCTCTTTGAGGCCCCACGTTGTAGCAGTACGACGAGCCTTACTAGAGGAGCTCCATTTAGAAGGAGCTTCACCCAATCATTTTAACTTAACTAGTAAAGCCTCATAATTAGATTCCCAGAAGAAACATAACAGATCCTTGCACTCAGTTTCAAGAACCCAATTAGCATCAAAGCAGAAAGAAGAAAAGGTCGACCTATTAGAATAACCAGCAGTGGTTGACACCAGAACAGGACAGTGATCCGAACTGATGTGGGTCAAGTGCTCAACTGAATAATTCAGAAAAAGATCCCACCAGGATGGGTTAGCCACACCTCGATCTAAACGCTGGTGAACATTATTTATAGACAATCGACCTCTTTCCAAAGTATACCATCTTCCAATAGAACCCAAATCAGAAAGATCACAATCCAACAGAGTAGAACGAAAAGCCTCCATCGGTCGTTCAGATTTAACACGTCCACCTTTTTTTCCGACGCAAGCAGTAGCTCTTTAAAATAACCAAATGCTAACCATGGTAAAGCCTGATCAACACCCAGCGACCTCAGCAAACTCTATGACTGATAACGTAAACTATCAACTGGGTGACCATAGAATCCAGTCAAATGCCAAGAAACATTAGAACCCGACTTGATAACTTCAACATTAATGTGATGCAGCGAGAAACTCCGTAAAGAAACAATGATATCATGAGACCATGCCAAAGAGAGGTCATCCCTAGAACCCACAACACTAACGTCGAAACCTTGAGAGAAACCACACTTTCTACGAACATTCATCATTTTATTACTAGGAAGTTTTTTTTTCATAAGAAACAAAATTTGGGGACGAACATCTCTCAGTTTATTCTTGAGACGATTAATTGTCCGTAGTTTCCCTAGACCACGGACATTCCAGCTGAGGATTTTCATGGCTGACGGTTGGCCTGTTCAATAAGGCATGTCAATGAATTGTTTTGAGAGCCATTAACATATGGGTAAGCATAAATATCAATCGTGGATGGTTGGACTCGTGGACGCTTATGAACTTACACATTTGCAATAAGACTATCCTCTTCAACAATAGCCATATGTGTGTCAGGCCCATTGAGTAAGTCAGACTGAGGCCCATCCAAATTAAAAGAAGAAGTAGTGGGCATAGATGCCCGAATGGGAGCAGAACGTGGGTGGGTAATTACCCCACTCAATCTTTCAGTGGGATTTCTTGCAGTAACCGTTGTAATCTATAGGGAATCACGCAGCCATTGACTGGATGGTGCAATTACAGAGAGAAACCCATCAACTACTATAAATTGCTACAAGTGACCTAAAACTGGCAGTCAAAAAACAGAACTTCCCAGGAACTTTCATTATAACACTTTGAAGAATGATTCGCCATTCATTTGAATAATACTGTGTCAAACTCGAACAATATTAACTAATTTCACCCAAAAGTGAAGGCTGCTGACAGATAACGAAGAACCTAAGAGTCAATGGACCCCAAAGTGTTGAAAAAGAATATCTAAGCATAATCAGGCATTACTCTTTTCAGAAATGTAATTGCAGAAGTTTCTTCGGGTACAAGTTCATCGAAACCGATGTAATTTTGCTCCTTGTTGTAAACATGGCACACTGTCATTATCGTCTTCATCAATCGCCAATTCCATGTAGCCTCATTCAGATACTGTCACAAACACGAATACGAACATGCAAAAGAGAACACGTGTCACATCTCTTGAGGGGGTTTGTAAATGACCATACTGTCGTTCTACAAATTATCTTAAAAAGTGACAAAATACTGCACCATACCGGTCCCTAATTTTCTTGAATCGACCTATGTGCTGCTCGTAGATTATAACTCGGTATCCTTGAAGAAACATGATGCGGAATGTGGACACTGATATCAAGGCAGAGGATCTCAATCCTGTCGAGTACATACAGTTTGGCATTTTCAGGAGTCTTCAAGGACATGGAATCGGATTAAAGGAACAGCATGTATGGCTCAAATAAAAGATTGATAGAAGGGCGTAAAATTAAATATACTTACCAATGAGGATAATCGCAATGCACTGTTCCAGTCAGCTGAGCCTGCGATGCATCCATTCATCTGAATATTTGAATGGTATACGAGGAGCAGTGTGATGCACCATTGTGAAAATACTCATCTGTAAAGTTTCAAGAAAACCGATACTTCTCAGAGTTAAAAATAAATGAGTTTTATTTGCATAATCGAATCGCTCAAGCTCACAAGAAGCCAGCGGTCATTGATCTATGATGAATTAACTCTTTGAAAAAACATGCAAAAATATGAAGTTATAACTAGGAAGAACTAAGAAGAAATCATGGACTTGAATGCATGTTTCATTTCTTATGTAATTAACCATAAAATAATGTCTAATGACTTCTCACTTTCGCTTCAGTGTTGGTATTTGACAAGGAACAGTAGGCGGAATTATAGAAAACACCAACTTCAAGCAACTCTTGTTTCAAGTATCACTTTGGCCAATATTTGGCCTGTTACCGATATTCAAGCTCGTAAAACATAACCATACGAGACTAGGAAGCAGCATTACCCAAAAGTGATAGCCTAACCATGGCATGATCCAAAACTTGATCCATCCCATAATCTCCGTCTTGTAGATGATCAATGGCCATCCAACTGCCATAAATGCAAAAACGCAAGCCAAACTCATCTTCACTCTTTTGACTTCATTTGGTCTGAACTTGTTCACATCAAAGTGACATTTCAACCAATGCATTAAACACGTATATGTCAAATAAAGAAGGTAAGAAAATGGAAGCGAAATGTGAGTAAAAATAAAATGAACCAACTATTTTGCATACATTCCAGTGAGCTATGGACATCCAAGGCCGAAATGGACCGAAACTGAACATAATTGCTTTGCGCAGAAAAGGAGAACCCTCAAACTCTTCTTTCCAAACAGGATGCCAAGCTGTATCTTCTTGTAGCCTACAGATATTAACAAAGAAACAAAATCTTTTAAGTAAAAATTACTAATAAAATACGTGCGTGAAAGAGAAAAGGTGTTGAAATTTGTGGTGGTTGAATCGAAACCAAAGTAGCTGCCCCAAGGAAAAACGTGTAACATGCTGCAGGGAAACTAAGAAAATAATAATGAACAAGTGTTTCTAGATGCTGATGTATCAGTAAGGTATTCCGAGTAATGACGTTGAAAAAATTTACTGCAACAGGGATACTAAGAAAATAATAATAAACAATAAAATATCATACATACATGTTTGTCTTTTCATAATGCTTGTCATGCTTAAACTTTAACACCCTAAACTAGTACGACACACAGCCGACCAATGTAGGATGCCACACGGAACCACCGGAGTGGCTGCCCAACACCTTACTCTTTTCTTGTACTATAAACGACCATTTCCACAAATAAAACATCCATGAAATAATATAATTTAAAACTTTATACTGGGGAGTTCCCAAAATAAATTTTTACAATTAAAATATTACAGACCGGTTCTTAATAAAATTTACGACTCAACTGATACAACAAGGTTTATAAAATATACATGCCCTTCAAACACTGTTGAGACGTACTCTAAATCTACATTGGGTCTGGACCTTGATCTATCTACTGCTCCTTGAACTCTCGATCTACTGACCTGCCCACGGAAAACAATTAGTTAGCTCAGCGCCACACTAACAACTAAAACATACTAAAAGTTTGTCACTGAAATGCTCAAGCTATCAAGTCTACTGCTATTTGGTCTACTGTTATTTGGTCTATCGGTCTGTTATGTTATGCTTTAGTGAGTATACTCGTATTCTCACTCTCTATTCTATGGTAGACATCATAGTGCAACTGAGGGCTCTGCATCTCAGAGTTTACACACCTCTCTAGTCTACCAAGAATGTGGCCCCCAGAATCTCTGCATTGGACACCACACTCTCGACTAGCCCACTCCTTGAGTGTCGGACCTTGAGCCCAAACTACTCAGCTTAAAGTGTCTTGCGCACTCCCTAAGGATATCCGGACTAAATCTATACTTTCGACTCTGCTACCTTTTCTAAAGAAACTCAGGTGTCCTAGTCATTTTTCCGAGCATTCAAACAAGGCTAGATTTCACCCTACTTTATTCTCGTTTCTACGTTTGAATTAAACATCATTAATGTTCTCACTTTAAGTCTTATGTGAGGAAATACTGAAGTGTTGAGGTACCTTGAGTCTAATTCTCTTAAAAACTGACATTTTTGCCCAAAACATATTGAAAGTATCGATACTATTCCAAGAGTATCGATATTCCTGCAAAAGTTTCGATACTTTGTATAAGTACCGATACTTTTAAACATTTAGTTCTCCCTAGTTTTGAAACTTTTTGGGAGTTTCGAAATTATGATCCAAAGTTTCGATACTCTTGAAAGAGTATCAATACTCTTGCCCAAAATCTCAAGAATTTGCCCAAAACAAAGAAAAAGTATCGATACTATCCCTATAATATCGATACTCTACCTGCAAAAGTCATAAAACACATACGAAAATGAAAATTTCAATCCCAAAGACCCTAGTGAGGTCCCAAACATTCTTTAAAGTCTTATGTGATTACAAGGAGCATAAATAAGACTTTATATCATGCTCATAACGTAAATAATGTAATCTACCATTAACATATAACACTAAGCTTCATAGCTTACTCTCAAGCTATAACTCATTTCTAATGATCATAAGAGTATGGAAGAGTTGATAGGTTAAGCTTCTTGCTTGCTAGAAACTCTTTCAAGTTAACCAAGTGGCAATTTTTCTTTCCCTCTTGCTTTAGAGTTTTCTCCCACCTCCCTTACTAAACAAAGACAAGAAAAGGGGTTTACTAAACTAACTAAGCTCTTGGTTAAAGCTTAAGATGCTCTAGGTAACTTGAATACAATATAACCAAGCTTGGATTCGTGGATCCCCTTAACCTCCATAAAACCTATTTTTGAAAACAAATTCTAAAACTTACAAAATGGAGCTTAAAACAAAGCTTGAAGAATGGAGGAAAACATTCTTACCTTGGCTACAACAAACTAAGCTTAGAATACTTGAAACTTGGCTCTTGAAAGGAAGAAGAAATGGAAACTAATAGAAGGAAGAAGAATAAAAGTGGGTGAGATATTATGGGGAGTTTGGTTACGTGAAATGATATAAAAAGAGGGGAAAGTTTTCAGTTTTAACAAAAAAGGTAAACTACACTTTAGGTCCTCCTATTCACTTACTTTTAAAATCACCACTTTATTATAACTATTGGGCCAACCTAAGCCCAATACTCTTAAGAATTAGTCCAAAATTGGCTTAAAAATCTAATAGGCTCTATTGACGGGTTTCGGATTGACCAAAACTACTAACCCGGAATTCGGGGTATTACATAAGCCGCCATGGCTCGTATGGGTATATTAGTGGTAGAAAGGTCAGTGTTCCCACAATGTCTTCCACTAATTTGTTTTTCGAAAATGATTTGTGAGCACAATCATGGCCTATAACAAAAAACTAAAGAAAATAGTAAAGAAGTTAGAATAGATGTATATCGGATTTTGATAAGATGCATATTAGACATATATTCTATGATATTTTCCTCATATTTGAATAACTAAAATTGCTTAAATCATGGATTTTGATTATATTTCGTATTTTGTGGATTAGGTTAAAGATTTAGATAAAACAAGTTCAAAATCTAATGATTAGCATGATCTTCACAAAATCCCCAAATTAAGGAGGAAAAATCAAAATTCAAGAAGTTGGCAAGACCAGAAGTGGTTTTCGCATAAGGCGTGGGCACGACTTATTCATCCTGAGCTATTCCAGAAGAAGTCTTCAGTTAAGGCGTGGGCGCGCCTTAACAGTCTGTACAACCCTAAATTAGGGTTACGAATTTATAAGGGAAAAAAAGTTTAATGACGGCTGGAAGACTCTTTTGAATTATTCTTATCTTTATAAAAGGATGAGGGCATTTAAAACCCCTATTTTTGTGGGATTTTCTTTAAAAGAAATTTCCTTATCTAGAATAGGAAAATCCTTATAAAAGGGGAGCTAGGGCTTTCATAGGAGGCATTAGTTTTACATAAGTTTTTCATTAAGTTTTCTTTAAGTTTTTCTTTTGGTGTTATTTCAATTATGAGTAGCTAAATATTTTTGTTCCAACTGGAGGATAATTGAAGTTTTGGTTCTTCAAGGATTGTGAGATCTAAATAATTTTCATTGTTCTTTTACTTCTTTTCTATTTATATATCTTCTGTTTTTATTAAGAATTATTGTCTTGATTGATTGTGCAAAGGGCCCGTTGTTCAATTATCAGGTTGATAAATTTCCATTTAGAACTTTAAATCCGTAATTGTTTAAACGTTCTAATATTAGTGGTAAAGTAACATAGTTGATTATGATTATGTTATAAAGGTATATAACCTAGTCTAAATGAATCGAGTTTGTGTATTCGTTGGCTAGAATTGGTGGTCCCTCTAGTGGTTAATGTTGTTGGTGGATTAAATCTTAAGAGCTTCTCTAGGGTTGTTCATTAACAAGGGAAATAATCAAAGAGCTCCTCTTGATTATCAAGAAATTAAGGAGAGACAGGTTGTTAGAGCTTCTCAATAACCATAACCAATTTAGTGAAAAGTAGAAGATTTTATCATTGCATCTATGATCAATTCTCTGAACCAATTCTGAAATTATACTTTTAGTTGGATATTTTCTTGATATCGATTTCTTTAAATTCTTAGTTAATTATAATTGTTTTTTCTTTTTCTCAATTTCAAAATCCCTTTTTTTACTTTAATTTTCATTAAAATAAGTCTACATAATCCCTGTGGATTCGACCTTGCTTACCGTTACTACAAATTTATATTTCTAAAAGCAAGTATTATTATTTGTTGGATTCGACACCCACCAGATTTGCTTTTATAACAAATACATAATAATATGAAAATAAAGAGACTACAAAGAAATGTACCCCAGTTACTGTTGTTCCTGTCCATGCCCAAACCAAAGGAAGTAGATACCATGAGGCTTTTGAAATCATGAAGATTCCCAATGCACAGGAAGTGGCATATATCAGAACTGAAGTCCAAGCTTTCACATCATCAATCTCAAACACCTAAGAAGAAAATTTTTTGGAACAAGAAAGAGCGAGAGAGAAGAAATCAAAATAGAGATCTGTTAGTCAAGTAATAGAATATACACATTCAAGTTCATAACTTCACTTCGGTAAAAAGACCAAAAGTATTCATGCATAATTTTTCTTCTTTACTTCAAAATATCATAACAAGGCATAAGTAAAATGTCCTTGAACAACCTGATCCACTATAATATATTGTTGGAAATCTGTTTACTAAGGAATAAAACTATTCCTTAATTATATGAATTAGATTAGATATTCTCTAAATCTTAGTTCCAGATTTTTAGGAATTATTTCATATTCTTTGTTGTTTACTTTCCTATAAATTGTACTCTATTGATTCTTGGATAAGAGAACAATAAGAATAATTCTCCTCTTAGTTTTGTTCATGGCATCAAAACTTTAGGTCTTAATTGATCCTGCTCATTTTTTAATAAAAAAACCCTCTTGTCTTGTCTTCAATGGCGGACAATACAAAAACCTCATTTGAATCTAAGACTTCACATGTGTCTCGGAATATCACTCAAGTAATCGCACATGGATCATTGGTCGTTCAAGGGCCTTTAATACTACCTTTGAATCCAATAAGCATTCCTCCTGGATTTTAGATTGAGGAGCATCCGATCATATGACAGGCAACTCATCCCTGTTTCACACATATGCCTTCTGTCATAACCAATCACACATCCGAATAGAAGATGGCTCGTACTCTCTGATTGCTAGAATTATGGTTGTTCACCTCACCGAGAATTTTTCGCTTAATAAAGTTCTACATGTCCCTAATTTATCTTGTAACTTGCTTTCAATTAGTAAGCTCACAGAGGATAAGAATGTCCTTGCTGAATTTTCTGCTCTTGGTTGTGTTATACAAGAACAAAAATCGAGGAGGAGGATTGGCACTGCTAAAGTAGACGAATGACTCTGCATATGGGATAATTACAATGAAGTGAATAAACAAAGAAACCTGCAAGTAGGAACGACACTTTCTACTTCGAATGAGGAGAACATAATGTTATGGCACCGTAGGTGGGGTTCCCAAACTTCCCGTATTTGAAGCAATTGTTTCCTTAATTATTTCGGTATAAAATGTCAATTCCTTCAAATGTGAAACTTGTCAAATATCTAAACATACTCGTTTTCCATACCCCTTAAAACCATATATCCAATCTCAATCTTTCTCCTTGATTCATAGTGACCATTGAGGGGCTAGCCGAGTTAAAAATGTCACGTGAGCTAGATGGTCTATTACCTTCATTGATGACCATACTCGATTATGTTGGATCTATCTCCTCAAAGAAAAATCTGAAACACCATAAATATTTCAGAATTTCCATTCCATGATTCGTACCCAATTTAGCTCAACTATACACATGCTCTGCACTGACTATGGAAGAGAATACTTCAACTCTATCTTGAGCCCATACCTTTTCAATCAAAGAATTATACATCAAAACTCATGCCCCGACACACCACAACAAAATGAAATTTTTGAAAGGAAAAATCGACACCTACTTACCATTGCTCGAGCCCTAATGTTCACAATTAATGTCCCAAAATATTTGTTCGGGGAGTCGGTACTCACTTCTTGCTACCTAATAAACCGAATGTCTTCCAAGATCCTCAACTTCCAAACACCTCTCAATACCCTACAAAAAGTCTTTCCACTATTTTGTGTTCCTACATTGCCAACAAAAATCATTAGGGTGCAAGGCCTTTATTCATTGTCACCAACCCAACCAATCTAAACTAGATCCTCGGGCTCACATATGTGTTTTCACAAGATATTCCCCCATACAAGAAGGATACAAATGTTATTCTCCTACCTTGCTTCGCATGTTTGTCTCTCGCGATGTCACTTTTTTTAATTTGAACCTTACTTTTCAACAACTCATCTTCAGGGGGAGACTCTCAATGAAGATGAGAATCATCATACCACATGATCCTAGTTTAACTATCCCGATCACACCAAATTCTAATAACCATGATATTATTATGATCCCTAATATTGTTGTACTTCCCACCAAAATACAACAGCCTCAAAACACTATCGTGAACACCAATCAACAGCCTCAAAACACTGTTGTGAACATCGAACAACGACCTCAAAACATTATTCTGAACACCAAACAACAACAACAAACTCCTAAACTCCTTGTTTATTCTCGACGCAAACATTCTTCTGAAGTTGATACAACAACATTGCAAATCTCATCCACACCTGATGATTGTTCTGTGCCCGAAGCATCTCTCGATCACCCTATTGTAGTTCGTAAGGACACAAGGACATGTACTCAGCACCCTATTTATCAGTTTGTATATTATTGGAATTTATCTAAGGCGTATGAGACTTTTGTGACTAATATTGATCATGTAGACACCCCAAGAAGTGTGGAAGAAGCTCTTGAATCAACTAAATGGAGACAAGTTGTCTTAGAAGAAATGAAGGCTCTCAAAAGCTTCCCGAAGGAAAAAAATAGTAGGCTGCAAATGGATTTTTACTACAAAATTCAAATATGATGGCAGCTTAGATCGGAACAAGGCTAGGGTTGTTGCCAAGGGATTCACCCAATCATATGGTCTCAATTACGACAGACATTCGTATCGGTTGCAAAACTTAATACGGTATGAATACTTCTTTCCCTTGTTGTCAATCTAGATTGGCCATTGGTTCAACTAGATGTCAAGAGAGCCTTCCTCAATGGTGAATTGAACGAGAAAGTATATATGGATTTTCCACCGGGGTTTGAAGATGAGAAGAGTTGAGTGTGCAAATTAAGAAAGTCTTTATATGGGTTGAAAAAGTCCCCAAGGGAATGGTTCAGTCAATTTGCTAAAGCCATGATCAACAGAAAATACACACAAGGACAAGTGGATCATACTTTGTTCTACAAGCACTTAGGAACTGGTAAATGTGCAATTCTTATCGTTTATGTTGACGATATCATACTTACAAGGAATGATCCGAGTGAAATTAGTGAACGAAGAAATTCCTTAGCACATAATTTGAACTTAAGGGCTTGGGAAACCTCAAATACTTCCTTGGAATGCAAGTAGCAAGGAAACGGATAGGTATTTCAATTTCTCAACGAAAATATATCCTTGATTTACTAACTGAAATTGGCATGTTTGGTTGTAAACATGTCGAGACCCCAATGGAGTTCAATTTGAAATTAGGCACTAATGAGGATGGAGATGAAATAAACAGGGGGAGATATCAACGACTTGTGGGAATACCCATATATCTCTCACGTACACGACTCAATATCGCTTTCGTGGTAAGTGTCATCAACCAATATATGCATGCACCAAGGGAGAAACAATTAGAAGGTTCCTACCAAGTGCTAAGGTACTTGAAGGGAACACTGAGGAAAGGTCTACACTTCAAGAAAACAAAATGTAGATATGTGGAGGTTTATATTGATGCAGATTGGGTTGGTCCAGTGAGAGACAGACGCTCTACGAGTGGTTATTGTAGCTATCTATGGGGAAACCTTATGACATGGAGAAGTAAAAATCAGTCTGTCGTAGCTCGTAACAGTGTTGAGGCTGAGTATCAAGCTTTGATGCGTGGTATATGCGAGGGAATCTGTATACAAAGATTAATGAGGGAACTCTAAGTATCATATGACAGACTATGAAGATATACTGTGACAACCAGGCAGCAATCAGTATAGCACATAATCTTGTCCATCACGATCGTGCCAAACACATGGAGATAGATCGACATTTTATCAAAAAAAATCAAATCAGGAGAGGTGTACATAACCTACTTACCCACAAAACAACAAGTTGCAGACTTGTTAACTAAAAGTCTCAATAAAAGCCTGTTTGAAGAACTTAGTGGCAAGTTGGGTTTGATCAACATCTACACGACAACTTGAGGGGGAGTGTTGGAAATCTGTATATTAAGGAATAAAATTATTCCTTAATTCTATGAGTTAGATTAGATTAGATATTCTCTAAATCTTAGTTCCAGATTTTTAGGAATTATTTCATATTTTTTGCTATCTACTTTCCTATAAATTGTACAATATTGATTCTTGGATAAGAGAACAACAAGAATAATTCTCTTTTCTTAGTTTTATTCATGTATATTATTTTATTTTATTAACAAAGGAAGGAACATAGGCACAATTTTTTCATAAAATTAGTTATATTTTTATTACATTGGGTATGTAACCTGGAACCTGGAATCTGGGGAAGGGGAAAGTGAACCCCTGGCCACTAGGCCTCTACTGGGGGTTCAAAAAATTAGATCATTATACAATCTTGCTCATACAGAAAATCATATGACCCAAAAATTCACTCAGCAATATCTCCAAAATGGCAAAACATTATACTTTGGACCAATTTCGTTGCAAATGATCTCTGCAAGTTAGATGCACCAGGAAACCATAAAAATTTACCTTTTTTTGGAAGGGTGTCTATCACATCCTTTAATGTAACATTATCAAGAAGTGGTTCTGCAACTTGCCTGAATCCATATTCTTCTGCTAACTGTTTTCTGTTCTCAGCGCTGTCTACTGAATATGGTTTTACTGGAACAGCCACAGCTTGTATGACTTTATTCCTTCTTAAGGTAATCATACCCTTTCGATGATTAATTCCGTTGAGGAGAAAGCTTTCCCACTTCAAATGACAGATACTTGCTAAAGGGAGGAAAGAAAAAAGGCATTAAAAATGTAATATTAGTAAACAAGAGGAAATTGCATTGAACTAGCATATAGGTTCATACCACACACGGCGGTAATCATACATGTGGAAAGGCTAAAAACTCTGAGGTTGTACCAGAATATGGTGCATATAAAATAAAAGGACCGAATTGATTATGAAATCAATTTAGTTGAAGAAACTTATGTTGTATTTGGGATAAACTAGTTCATGAACATGTATTTTCTAGGCAAGACACTTCAACTGGAATCTGCTGAATTACAAGAAACTAACCACTCGTCCACTTGAGTCGTATAGTTTTTCTTTTTTCAATTGGGCATATTCCCGTTCAGTGTTTCAACTTTGAAGTACATGCAAGTTTTAAGAAACTAGAGAGAAAGAATTAAAATAAGAGAGCAACCACATGGTGGTTTAATTATTGTAAATTTGTTCAATAAGGTGCCTCATGACCATTTTGTGCAGCTTAGCTGATGTAAGTTTGCAACATATGTATCCCCTCATACTTGTTCTAAACCTCCCGGTAGCTTCATAGGACCGCAGTGAAACATTCACTCATTTTAGTTTGCTATTTATCAGAATCAGTAATGCTAACATTATGATGGAAGGGGCTGAGATACATCATTGATTAACTCAAAATCGAATTGCCATAGTCAACAGACAATGCAGCTCAGAGAAAGCATGGCCAATGACACTATCTTAAGAAATACATCAAACTAACAAAACCCAAATCACCAAATGTACCAAAAACTTCACCAAATAGTCTACAGATAGTATTCACTTAGTTTACCAGACAATATTAAAGAGAAAGTATGAAAATTGAGTACCTGTTGAAGAATGTAGCAATTCTTTGACTCCTAATTGGCCTTTGGCAAGGACCCTGAAAATCAAACCAACAAAGGAACGGAATTCAGAAGTGAAAACAAAGAACAAAACTTTTCATACAGAATTGTGAAAAATCAGAACGTACCAAGCAAAGGAACACGGAATCCAAGATTTTGCAAGCCATGTGAATTGGAAATGACGGGAAGCTGTCACTTTTCCCTTCCCTTCTCTTCTTAGAAGAGTCCCAAGTGACCTTGTTAATGGACAAACTAAAGAAAGGGACAATGAAAGAGAGAGACCTTTGAAAATACTGAGTCTTTCCGATTGAAATGAATATTGACAACAACTACATCAAGTTTAGAGAGTCGTGGTATGTGTGTCTCGCTCGCTAAACCGCCTTTTCTGTGGAGACAAATCCGCGCTAGTAATTCAAACACGAGGGGCTACCATTTGTTTGTTTATCATCCATGGCTTATTGGATTTTGGGTCCTTTTTGCTTCTTGTTTTTTAGTGTAAAATAGGGTTAGAGTTCTATAAAATGTATGAATTGTTTGTACCGTATCTATGCCTATATATTTCCTTAGCCTCGGCGGCCACTTTTTGTACAGATACCCGTTGCTTGTATATTCATTGTATCCTTTTAAAATAAATAAAAAATAATTTAACTAAAAATGTTTAATTATTTTATTTAAAAACGAACATATAATTTTAGGTTAGTAGATAAAGTTATAAAATAATAAGAGAATGAAAATATAATTATTATATTATATAAAAATATAAATACAAAATATTAATATCATATGTTCCATCAAATAAAATTATCAAGGTATACATGTTGACGCATGTTCGGAAATCATGTTTTATATGTATAGAAAAATAGGCATCTTTTATTCTCACGCAAAGCTTCTTTCCAAAATACTTAGCAAACTTGATAAAACTTATCATTAGATCACCGTCGAGTTTCAAGAAGCAAAGGACATTCAATTCAAATCATATTAGAAAAAAAATGAAGTAAACCATTTGTTTCCAACTCAGTCTCATTCATATTAAACTTCTCAGCTGACAATAACGGCTATATTGGGGGCATTTGTTCTTCCACTCAGCTGCAGTTGCAAGCATATATTAATGGAAGTGTAAAAGGAAAGGAAGGAGTTTATAAAGGACAAAAAAAAATCGGTCATTTCCCCCAAAAATGTCGATCGTGTTTTTACATGATAATCCGTTCATATAACTAAATGAAAAAAAATTTTAAAAAAAATACTGCATAAAATCAGGATAAAATGTTGTAGTAGATGTCATTAAAGGGTGACATGATGGCTTCTCTCTTACTTGTCAGCTACAAAGTTGAAGCCTCGATAGAATTTACAATGCCCTTTCAACAATCTCCTTATTTGAAGGACAAGGTTTGTTATTTTTTCCTCTTTTGTTTCTTTATTTATTTATTTTGGTGATTTTGTTATCTGGGTTTCAACTTTCAAGTAATTTGGAGCTAAGGTATGGGTTTGTCTCGTAAACTCTTTTACAAGAAGCCACCTGATGGCCTCCTGGAGATCTGTGAGCGTGTTCATGGTGTGTTTTTCTCTTCTTGCCTTCGCTTCAATTCATGCTCTTTCCTCTTTTTTATGTATAAAATTGAGATTTAAGTTTGCTGAAAATACAAATTCAATGATTATATTGGAATCTCTCAACTTTTTGATATATGGAAAGATTGGTCACTCTGGAAATGATTAGTATTCGGGTGATTAAAGATGAATTTTGAAAAGATTTTTGCTTTTCAGATTATGGGTTATGTTTGGTCGGTATTTGACAAGGCAATGGAAAGTTTGCATTTTGAATTCTGAAGTATATATATATATTCGTGTATATTTTGATTGTAAGTATTTTCTTTGTCGGGTGTATGTGTTTTCTTCTAATAGAAGTTACCCTGTGGGTGAATATTCTTTTCTCAGAAATGGATGTTGCTTCTTCTGTTGCGGAATACGACTATCGGATAGAGCAAAATCACAACTGATAAATTAAGAAAATAAATATGAAGATAAAAAAGACACAAATTTTACGTGGAAAACCCCTAAATAATATAGGGTAAAAAACCATGGGCAACGGTAGAAGAATTTCACTATGAAAAAATAGGAATTACAACTTCTCTCGATCTAACAAGGAGAAAACAATGACAATTCTCTCTTGATGAAAAGGAGAAAACAACTCTCAAGGAACTCTCTAAATTCTCTAGTATTGGGAGAAAGCTAGACTGATTTGGGATGGTTTTGAAGCTAAATGAGTTAGGGTATTTATAGTTGAAGCTTAAGGACTAATCTTATAAATATCCTAAAGTACAATGACTAAATTGTGATTTTACCATTGTCCAAATTTTTAACAAAATAGGTGGAATTTTTTCACTTTCGGTGCACCCTATATTTTTTATTTTCTACAATCTCCCACTTGAAGATTTGATTGGAACAATCATATCTTCACACCATTCTTTCTACCTTGTACCATCATGTTGCTTACGTCTCTGAAAGACCACAAGAAGATCGACACCAAGTAAATTTATCAGCGTTGATCGCCTTCATCATGAAATATGCTATGTTGTCTTTGGTATGGATCTTCTGTATATCTACCGTTCCTTCTTCCACCTTTTCACGAATGAAATGGTACTGAACTCGTATGTGCTTTCTCCTTGAATGAAATGTTGGATTCCTTACTAGATGCAAGGCGCTTTTACTATCACAAAATAGAGAGACATACTATTGATTGTGCACAAACTCCTCCAATAGCATCTTCAACCAGATTGCTTCTTTATTGGCTTGTGTAGCTGCCACATATTATGTCTCTGTTGTGGATATAGCCACAACTGACTGCAATTTTGAACCCCAGCTTACAGCTCCACCAGTAACTATGAACACATATCTTGTAGTAGATTTGCTTTTATCCAAATCCCCTGCATAGTCACAATCGACATACCCATTGATAAGTAAGTTTGATCATCGGTAACATAATGCAACATTTGAGGTCCCTTTGATGTATCTCAGGATCCTCTTTACTGTATTTCAATGCTCTTTGCCTGGATTCTCCATGTACCAACTAACCACTCCCACTGCTTGTGCAATGTCTGGTCTTGTGCATATCATAGCGAACATTAAACTTCCCACTGTCAATACATAAGGCACTCGAGACATCTTCATCCTCTCTTCTTCACTGCTAGGACTCAAACTGGAGGATAATTTGAAGTTAATAAGAAGAATGGTAGAAATTGGCTTACAATCTTGCATGTTGAATCATGACAAAATCTTCTTCAAATAATTCTTTTATGAAAGCCAAATCTTTCTATTACTTCTGTCTCGGTGAATTTACATCCCTAGATCTTGTTTGGTGATCCCAAGTCTTTCATTTCAAATTCCCTAGCCAGTTATGCCTTCAATTCTTCAATATGATCTTTGTTGGGTCCTACAACCAACATGTCATCAACATACAACAGTAATATAACAAAATCATTATAACCAAACCTCTTGAAATAAGCACAAGGGTCTGCATTAAGTCTGTTGTATCCAAGGCACATAATAAAGGAATCAAATCTCTTATACCAACACCTCGGCGCCTGCTTTAGGTCGTACAGATATTTGTTCAACCTGCAAACCAAGTTTTTCTTTTCATTTTCTTCAAAACCTTCAGGCTGGAGCATGTAAATCTCTTCTTCAAGATTTCCATGAAGAAAAGTTTTTTAACATCTAGCTACTCTAGATGTAAGTTTAATGTAGCACACATTGCCAAGACTACTCAAACTGTTGTTAGTCGAACCACAGAAGAAAATATTTCATTAAAATCAATACCTTCTTGTTTAGCATATCCTTTGACCACCAGTCTTGCACGATACCTCTCCACTTGATTGTCACCATTTCACTTGATTTTGAAAACCCATTTGTTACCAATTGGCTTTCTTCCTTGTGGTAGTGGCACAAGATCTCATGTATTATTTTTATGAAGGGCTTCAATTTCTTCTTGCATCGCCATCATCCACAGTGAAGCATCTGAGATGTTTATTACCTCCTGGTATGTTGATGGCTCACCGTCATCTGTTAAAAGGCAGTATGCAATATTTCCTTCTATAACATAATCTGAGTGATAATTGGGACGTCTTCTTACACGATCTGATTGACGAGCTGTTCGAGCTTCAAAACTCTTTGGTTCTTATTCATCATATGTTGGTTCTGCTTCAGAAGAATCTCCTTGTTCAAACTCATTCTCCACATGTATCTGTGTAGTCTCTGACTTTTCAGTACTACTATCTTCTTTTTTTCTTTGTACCTTATCTTCTACAAAGATAAGATCCCTGCTAATTATCACTTTACGGGCAGTGGGATCCCACAAGCGATACCCCTTTACACCATCAACATACCCCAAGAATTTGCATTTCCTGGATTTTAGATCCAGCTTTAAAATTTCTAGGGAGTTGTACACCACGAACATAATACTTCCAAATACATGGAGGTTTGAATAATTAGCTGGTTTACCAGTCCACATCTCCATTGGTGTCTTCAGCTTACAGTTGATGGAGCTCGATTCACCAAATAACAGGCACTATTGACTACTTCTGCCCAAAATGATTTTTATAGGCCTGCAGCCCTCAACATTGCTCTTGTTCTTTCTAACAAGGTTCTGTTCATCCTCTCTGTCACTCTATTTTGTTGAGGAGTATTCGCCACCGTGAACTGTCTTTTGATGTATTCTTTTCTGCAAAAGTCATCAAATTCTTCGCTTGTGTATTCTCTATCATTATATGTTCTGAAACACTTGATCATATTTCCAGAATCAAGTTCCACCCGCGCTTTGAAGTTTTTGAAAGTGGAAAACACATCTAACTTCTTCTTAATAGGGTACACTCAACATCTCCTGGAGTAGTCATTAATAAATGAGACAAAATATTTTGCTCCTCCTAGGGATGTAATTGGTGATTGCCATACATCAGAATGAACCAATTCTAGAACATTTTTACCTCTAGAATTTGACGTGTTGAATTTCGACTGGTGCTGCTTACTTGTTACGCAATGCTCACACAAAGTAAGTGATACATTTGTTAAGCTTAGAAGTAACTTTTGCTCCAAAAGGACTTTCATTCCTAGTTTTGACATGTGTCCAAGTTTCTGATGCCATAGCATTGTAGAATCTGAACTACATGAGGCAACAGAGGCTTTTGCTTCTAAAAAAGTCTCTCCCTTCAGTATGTACAAGTTTGTTGTTATCTTTTCGTCTTTCAGCACCACAAGTGCTCCACGGAACACCTTCATGATTTCTTTTCGTGTTTCAATCTTGCTTGCATTATTATCCAACAATTCGTATAATAATAATTTTTTCTTCAGGCCTTTCACGTGTCTCACAT